GTGTGTGTGTGTGCGCGCTGTGACTTGGGCCATGTCAAGCTGTTATATCATATTGTGTCTTGGCAGTTGTCGGAGAGAAGGAGAAGATGACTAACAATGTCAATGTGCGCACGAGGGACAACAAAGTCCACGGAGAGCTGTCGGTGGCTGAGGTGCTGGCTCGCCTGACCATGCTCAAACAATCTCGCTGTCGAAACGCAGAGGAGGAATTCTGATGAAGACGAAGGCTCACATTTAAATACCTCACCGTGTGAACTACTGCCAGGAGAGCAGTAAATGATGGCACATGTCGAGGGGGTACAGGGGAAATGGTAGCACAAAAAAAGGTGGTACTGGGAAAGTGTAGTACAGAAAGTTTGTGAATGTGAAATTGGCCATGGTCTATTTTCTCAAATGTCTGTCTCAATGGAGAACAGTAGAAAAATAAATTGTATCTTCCAAATGTGTGTTTTGTTCTTTTAATTTCACAACATAAGTGATATGTTGACACACAGCCTTCCATGCATTCATCCTGGAGGCTAAAAATGAGTTCACTCATTCCAGCAACAACATGGTGCTGAGAAGATGCTTTTAGCCATTAGGTTTCAGTGAAGTGCAAAGAATTATAGTTTGGAACACTGAAAGTACAACTTTAAATTTAGCTGTTGAGCAATACAGGGCTACATCCTCTTGCAGCATGTCATGACATGAACATTCCACAGTGTCAGGCCAGGTAATTAATATCTGATGGCTTCTCTTTATAGGAGTTCCTCTGGTGCTCATTAGAGGTCAGAGTAGTGTCAGCTAGTGTCAGCTATCAGTTTTCCCTGATCACAAACCTCAGATGATTTATTAAAATCAATCTGTGTATAAGATAAGTTGTACCTTTATTGAGGAAATTCACAATTGAGAAAGCGGCACAAGGAAAAGTAGCAGTGCGAGGGGAAAAGATAAGTATACAGGTTGTTTAATTCTGCAATTCATTTACATATATACAATCTCTCAGCATGTAGTAAAGTTAAGTAATTACACTTTATTTAATGCACCTTTCACAGAGCAAGTTATTACCACAAAAACAGTTAATACATTTAAACTCTAAAATAATCAGACAAAGCATTGGCCCTAACTAGACCTAATCTAAGAAGTATGTGAATGGATAAGTGTTACAAACATACTTGTAAGCATTTCAAGCCCATTGAATTAATCTTGCATGTCATTTTAGCTGCTTCATTAGGCCAGGCAAGAAGCGGTTATTCCTACTTGATTTGAACGCATCCTCCGCTCTCAAGCAACAATGGCTACGATCTGTCAAACATGGAGACCGGACCGAGGACGCTGCTTCAAAACCTGCGGGATAATGACTCTGTTGTTCATGGACCTGGTTCTACAGTGTGTGAACGGTATGCCTGTGAACACAGCCACATGTTTACACTAGCCTGCTTCCTGTCTGGGGCTTATTTTCATTTAACTCGGGCTATGTGTGGCCGCTCTAGCACCACAGCGTTAGCTTCCTCCCATTGAGTTAGCATTGACTGGTTAGCTTACGAGCTAAAACTGCCCCGTTAGCGCAGCTAGCTAGCTAGCTAGCAATACACGGTTCCGATTTTAGCAACGTTTTTCTAATGTAACGGGCGTGTTGTGTGAATGATAAAACTTTAAATGTACGTCAAAGAAAAGCTAACAGCCATATGTCGCTGATGCACTGAGAATAATGTCACTACCATGTCAACGTCTTCCCAAATGTGAAGTAGTGAGATTTGAGCTTGTGTTAAACACAAAGACCTGCATCCAGTTACCAACACCACTGCTACGTTTCTGAACTATACATGATATTGTCACGTCTGTCTCCTGACACGTGAGTGCAGCAAACGTTTGTAGCCAGTACCCATTTCCTATTACCTATATAACTGTGCGATCATGATCCTGACTCAGACGAACTGGTTTCTTGTCAGGATACCTGAGCTCTCCTCATGTTGGCCAGGAGCCCCCTTACAGCAGAGATGCCCAGCATGGTCCTGTCATCACCAGCCCAGTGGTCCCTGCTGCATCTTCAGGTGAACACACACACACACACANGTCGGTCCTTTGATGGACAGCCGACCTGTCCAGGGGGACCGTCACGTGGCTCCAGCCTATCCATGACCTTCAAAGTAAAAGCTCTATCGTGGACTGACGGATTTATTTAAATTAATGTTGACTTTTCTCCTTGAATATACTGTACTTCTCATAATATATGTATATAAACCATTGTCAATAATTTCACATGCGTTTTATTGGGGATTCATTACATTTCCATTACTAGATCTAATTTTTATTTCTAACATTGCTTCTTTGGCAGAGAATATTTCTGACATGCCAAAACAGCCCACCTTTCCTTCCCCCCTAAGTGCCTATTACCTTACAGGTGGATAGAAAGAGGAAGAGCGATTGGGTGATGCATGCAATTTTGATGAAAATCAGTAGGGTGCAGGCAACAGTGTTTAGCTGTCACACAGCATATCAGCAGGAGAGAGGGGAGGAAAGATAGAAAAGACATGGAAGCAGAGAAGGTAATGTTCTATTCTGAATAGTGTGGCAGCAAAACAAGATCTGGACAGCAGTGAATACAATTTTTAAAGATAACCCATGAATTTTGTGGACATGAGGTACTGATATTTACACTATTTCTATCTACAAATGGAGCTTTCCTCAAAAATAACAGTAGAACAGATAAATGCAAGAAATATCAACTGACTGGGAAAATAATTGTCAATTTGGACAGATGGTGTCATGCTCTTTTGATATAAAAAAACATGATACACTAAAAGGTGTAAAAGGCTAAAGTAAATGAATAACATGTCTCAAGCCTCAAAGTATATATATGATGTGTTTTGAAACCAGAAACTCCATAACCACAGTCATCAGGGGCAGGAGGGAATTATCGTGACTGTGGGCTATGGTTGCAACAGACCCCTTCCCACACACGCCCTAGAGTCACGGTCGACTCGTTGGTGACCACTGCCCTAGAGCAACATACAAACATACAGCATAAACACTTTCATATAGTAGTCATTATTTTAACAGGACAGGAAGCATCAGATAAAGTCTTAATGCAATGTATACAGTACAAACAAAAGTATAAAAGACAATAATCACAAATGACAAAAAAAAAACTATTAAAGGTTCAGTGTGTAGAATTTTGTGACATCTAGAGTAGAGGTTGCACGTTGCAGCTGAATATTCCTCACCCTCCCCTTCCCAACATGAGAGAGAACATCAAAAATATAACGTATTTGAATATAAAAGGCGCATTCTAGGGTAAAGAAAACAACGATTTTTTTGTTTTTATATTTTGTCTTTTTTCTCCTTAGAACTGCACAAATCAAATTAATATACTCAGTGACTTCTGGCTCTGTTCTCTTTCTCTCATCCTTTCACTCTCACACCAACAGACATACAAATACATAGACAAAGGCTCAATCTGTTTAGTCAGACTGGCTAAAAACAACATCATTTGGTCTTCACTGAAAAAATTACAATCATGTTTATTTGCATTTAGAGCTTGAAAGTGAGATCTGATCACAGTGTCAGCAGACGAGCTGAACACCTGACCCACCTCTCAGGACAGATTTTAATCCCAGTTCTGAACAGGGTCACAATCTGTTTACAGAAAGACATAACAACCTGCCAAAGTACTCAGAAGGGCCTCTGAGGTACTCCGTTACAGCAGATGTCTATAGAACCATATTTTGTCATGATGACGTCCAAGGGGAAAACTATACTAGCCATGCAGTCTCCGCAGCCTTGATGGTGCAATCAGGAGAAAATTCCCTTGTTCACTCATTCTTTGATGGCCTTTTTGTTGGAGGCAGAGTGTTAGTCATTTACCTCCCACAGCATTTCCCAGTTTAGCAAAAGATTTAGACGGAAGCAGTTCCAAGTTTGTTGACACCCATAACGGATCCTAGGCGCTAAGTCTTCTCAGTGCTGATATCTTGCATCAAAGCTTTGTTACATTACATTGATTATTGATTATTTGCACAAATGAATTCCCATAACTCAATGTTTGCTGTTTTGCAGTGTCTCCTTCTGATAAGGAGAACTACACCTCCAAGTGTCCCAGTGGGGGTTTGTGTAGTCGCCTGGCAGCTGATTGCATTCAATGCAATTACCAATATAACTGCACCTACGGGAAAACGGCTTCCTTCACTTGTAAACCCAAGAAAGGGGTTCACTGTATAGTGAGTAGAAGTATATTTTGTAATATTTAAAGTTCATGCTGCATAGAGGTAGAGTAAGATCAGCATATAAATATACCCACAATTGCATTTGCATTGTTTGTTGATAGAATTAGATGTAATCAAAAATAGCTACCTTAAATTTGGGAATAGCTGTGGAGTGATTTCCTGTTGTTTCTGTATTTACAGGGAGAGTCAGGACAGCAGCAAACCAACTTCTCCCTCTCCATCATCTGTCAGTTCTGCTGGCAGCTGGATCCGTCCCAGTATGACTGCTCAAACTTCATCAACTGTATGACAGTGTCCTGCCCACGCAAGCGCTACAACGCCACGTGTAACGTGTTAGACCATGTACATTGTTTAGGTACGATAAAGCCTGCAAGGCTTCATTGATTTCAGTCAAAGGCAATGTAGACACAGTTATTTTGGGAAGGCAGATTTTCTCATCCAATGTAAGTTTTAAAAAAGGGAAAAAATGGATAAACAGTAAAGCATTTGTTTACTGAGGCACATCCACTGACTCTATCAATCAGACTGTATTTTATAGCACTTCTCATACAATGTACCACAAAGTGCTTTACAGAATAAACGCAATCAGAATAATACACCCACGTGACCCACACAAATCCATGGCAATATAATCCAAGGCAATATTCGCGGGATCTGAGGAAACACTATCGTTAATCTCATACATTTGAAATGAGGAAACACCACAGGCTGGTTTAAAAAAAACAAATATAAAATAAGACTTAAAGAGAAGTAAGTAAAACCAGAGATAAAAAGGGTAGGTCTTGAATTTGCCTTAGTCTCTTCCATAGTCTTTATGTCCTCATGTTTTAAGGGAGAATAGATAGAGAATAATAATTATAATTAAAAGATGCTTCATTGTGGGTTCTTGTTCCATCTTTGGGTAAAATTCAAAGTTCATGACCAAAAGACATGAGGGTTTGAGAGGGATCAGATCAGTAAAATAAAATCTGATAAATGATTAGGACCCAAGAGCATTAAGAGCTTTATAAACCAATAAGAGTTTTAAAATCAATTCTAAAGCAGACAGGCAGCTGGTGCAGAGACTTTAAAATTATTGTAATGTGTAATTCTCTGTTTCTGGTCTTAGTCAACACATGAGCAGCTGAGTTTTGAAGCAGCTGCAGTTGAAATGTAGTCTTATTGTAGAGACCAGAAAGTAAAGCATTACACAATCCTCACTTTTTGCTTTTTATTGTCTAAACATTCCTCAAATGTTCCTTTTCTTGTTGTTAAAGAAAATGTGTCTGCAGTAAAACTAAGTTGTTTTTCGGAAATGTTCCTTTGTTTCTGTTTTTCCCTATTTCTTTGAACATCTGCCATGAACATCTAAGCTGCTGTACTCTATCCACTAAATGTGTTTTCCCTCCGTAGGTAAAAGACGTTTCCTGAAACGTTTGTTTTGTGACTGGACTGGAGGATATAAATGGTCAACAGCCTTAGCACTCAGGTAAACCTGCCACCATCAGGGAAATGGATATTAACATTCCTAAATAGAAGGGCACTCAGAAAGTGCATATCTCAGCCAAGGCTGATTGGCCAGTTATTTACCATATTGCATATACATGTATTCAAATCAGATACATCCAGGTAATTTTCTGAGTCCACCCAAAATTTTACCTGCTCAAAAAATTCTGGATCTGCCCTCTTAATTCAATCTGTTCCAAAAGTTAATGGGGTCTTCTTGGCAAATACTGCACCCTTCCACCAAGTTTCAATAAAATGAATCCAGTAGTGTTTGTGTAATCTTGCTACTAATCAGACAAATAGCAGACAATAAAAAATAACCCCCTTGGTGGAGATAAAAATCCTATTTAAGTGGCATGTGTTGCTCTGGTAGCAGTTTGTTTTATCAGTGTTTCTTTTTCTCTCATCTCTTTCTTTAGCATCACACTTGGTGGTTTTGGGGCAGACCGATTTTATCTGGGCCAGTGGAGAGAGGGTCTAGGCAAACTGTTCAGCTTCGGAGGCCTGGGTATTTGGACTTTGATCGATGTTCTTCTGATTGGAGTTGGTTATGTAGGACCCGCTGACGGTTCTCTCTACATCTGAAGCAAAGCCCTGGAGACGTGGTTGAATGGTTGATGCTTCCTCTTCAATCTCAAAAAGATTGAAGATCTGAGATGCTGTGTCCTTAGCACGTTTCTCCTGCCCGAGCTTGCTGTGCAACACATCATCCCATCTGCTAACAGGCAGGAAGTGTTTTCCTCATCACACCATTGATGACTCTACCCACACAACCATCAGATCAATCCCAATCATTCTGCGTCTGTCTCCTGGTGAGATTTCTGCTTCTCTGGTTGGTTTGACTCAACTGGTGGTTAGGCTCTGTTATGCTGATACATAGATAGGTTCGGTTTCCTGTGGAGCCCTGCTTTCATAGACATCCTGTCACATTGGAGCCGTGTGTTGTTCCTGCCTTGTTGCAAGGTGAAAGCATCACTAGGGGGGTGGGGCAGTCAAATGGTAACACAGAGCGTTTTATGGTGACACCAGACACAATTGATAGCGCAAGTGTAATATTGATGTCCTGAAAGAGAGCATGAATATGCAGAAGGGAATATGTTCAGTGTTTTTATTGAAAGGAGATACAGTAGTTGCTCCTCTGGAGGATTTTTATGGTTAATTTGCATGTTCAATGTTGATCATACACAGAGTCCACAGTGCAGGTCACAACTGTAAGAATGTCCCCCCCGACCTGCTGCAACACTTAGTCTGATTTTTAGAAAATGCAGAGACAAAAATCTCAAACAGAACCTGTTTGCACAATACACAACAAATATTGACACACCTTGGATGTGTTTCACTTGCAAACTGCAGTTTCTTGTGTTGCAGACGTTGGAGATATATCCTGTGTATTCAACCAGTATTTTTCCCTCAAACACATCATCTCATTCTTCACATTGTTTAGAAAAGTATTCTGTGTACTAACACTGTAAGATCTGAGTTTGAGACTCTGTGGCACCCCTCACTTCATGTAAATATGTTTTCAGTTTCAGGTCATTTTAATTTGTTGGGACACTGTAAATGACATTTTTTAAGTCATGTAAATAAAACTGTGTGCAATTTTGAAAGCTTTTGAAAGCTTCCTTAGTTTCACTGAAATAAAACCCTATGTCTGATTTCCCCCCCTCCTGATGTTCTATCTATATTTCAATAAGAGTTCAGGTGTCAGCGACATCTCAATACAGCTTTTCTCCTGCACCCTCTAAGGGAACTCAGCTCCATTATTAGCTGAGGTCCTTTTCACAGATGTCTGTGCTTTTTCTCACGGTAAACACAGTGAGTGGTGCCAGGAGCCCGTGTTTCCCTCAGGCATGTGTCACATAGAGGAGGCCAGGAGGCTTATGTAGAGGCTGAGGAACACTCCCTTCCCAAACTTGTTATAGGGCCTTTGTGCAAGGCATCAACCTGCAGTTGTAGCTCATTTCAGTGAAGCCAAGCCTGCACAAGAGCATTGTTGATATCTCTGCTCATCTTATGTAATGAGTTAAAAAAAAAAAAACAAAGGGAGAGGATGTTGCAGGAGGGTGGTAAAGATAATACAGAGGATAAAGATGTAGAAAAAGAGGATGAGGACCAACAGGTAGGGAGTTTAAAAAAAAAAAAAAAATCAAGGGAGGAAAAAAACCTCATGTTCTTTCTAGTAAGTTCTTAGTTTATGTGTCGACTTATCCGATTGGCTGCTTTGCTGATGCTGTTGTAAATTTACTCCACCCTAATTCTAGTTCCTCAAATTTGACACCAGCGCTGCAGCTCCCTCCCACAGACTGACGCAAGTGTTTGTCACACACTGTGCTGCTCAAGGAGAAGACTTGAAACTCCTAAATACAGTGTAGTCTGAAACAAGACGAGTTCTTTTTCTTGTACTTTTAGGAAACGTGATAGAACAAATTGAAATACATTGTGATCTTCAGTTCATATGGCATTTAAAACGTGGAGTGGGTGTGTTTATATGCATAAATTCACTGAACTGTTTCCAATGATGCAAACTACAGCAACTATGATAAATATGTTGGAAGAATATTTTAGTGGAATAAAAACCTGACAAACTAACCTCAAACTTAGTTGTACGTTTTAGCAGAAATAATCTGATCACCTCACTAATTACAGTATATTTTTACTAAAGAGCAGAATTACTGCATGTAATAACCTCATTCATACATCACTGTCCACTGCCCAATTACAAATAATAGCCAGATTTTTTCTGGTTTTCTTGCTTTATGATATTCCCATTTGCTGTGATATTAATGGTAATTATATAAAATTGTATTTCTCTTGAGAATAATAGTTTAATTTTGTCAATTATTCCAAAGTCATTATCCACACTTTTTGGGGAAGAGAGACAAAATATTGTCAGTCACGACTTCTTGGTTTTGAATAATGCGTGGAAGAGAACAAAAGTTTATTCACTCCACTGAAATGCAATCCCACTTAGTCTCATCACTGCTGTAAATTCTACAGCGTCGACTCTGACCCTGTGTGTCCAGCGCTGCCCTGACAGACTGTGTCCACCCATCACGTTCACTCCCACAGGAGTGTTTCTCACAAAAAGTGCACGAACAGAATCCAGAGGCGTGACAACTCAAAGCATTCTATGGTCCTTTCTCTCACACTTGGACAGAGCATTTAGCACCACCTGGGGATATGGTACAAATTACAGTGCAGATAAAAAGTACACACTGCCCATGGACTTTTTCCAGTTTGCTGTCACTGAATCACAAAGGTGTGACTCATTTGTTTCAATCAGCCAAGAGGACCAGTTAATGACACAGAGTGAAAACAAAGCTCCATATGCTCTAAATTAAGAACAAATGTGAAAGTTAGAATGACTCTCAGTAGAGTGCATATACACCAATGCGGAACAGTCTCCTTATGAAACCACATTTAAATTCATTAGATCCTTATTTTTATTTGGACCTGCACCACATTGCACACACTCATACGTATCAGTCCCCTCAACAAACCTGTTTTTCATCAAGCTCCATGAATTATTCTGAGAGAAATCGATGATTATGTGTAACAAAGAAAAGTTAACAGGAAAAGTCACTGTTGTAGACAGTTTTTTATTTTAAGTCACATGATACTTCAATAGAGCTCACCTTGTGTAATGGATTAGTAAGAAGTGTTTTCAAGATGTGTGCGTCTGAATGTGAAATGTCTTTTTAATGTCAAAAAAAGGAACATTCCAGGCGATTGTGCAACACAGTTTTTGAAAAGTAGCGATCTGTGGAAGAAACCAGCACATTTCCCAGCGTAACTGTCAGACCACATTGTCAAATGAAATCATAAGAAAAGTGAATTTCTCGGCATTGCATACAATCAGTGGCGGATCTGGGTTTTTTCTAAATAAGGGGCTAGAAAAGGGGCCACAATTTACACAGAGGGGCCAATTATATGCACAATTCCTCATTCAGTAAGGTGCACATTGAAGTCATTCCATGTTAACTGTCATCATTTCATATATTTTTAAAATTGTTCCTCATTTGAGCACATTGTCTAAGCTTAGAAAATAAAAAATTTATATCATCAATTTTTGTGACAAGGTCACTTTTGTTTTAAAGACTACTGACAGGACAGGCACTTCAGGGCCCAATCAGATACCACCCTTAAATCTGCCCTTGCAAATAAGCAACCTCAAAACATTACTGGTGCAACTTGTATCACTTTTATACAATTTAAATAGCACATAATCCAAAAACTCTTATCCTCCCATCTGTGCAGTCCATTTTAATAACAGTGTGCCAGTTCTGCTTTCCAAGTCTGAAACCACTCGTATAGACTTGGCAAGGCAACAATGTCTCACTTATTGTGCTTACATATATATGGAATAAAAAACTAAATAAGGTTGGATCATGGTTGTTTCAGATCAACATGACTCAAAATATGTAACAAAAATAAAAAGGACAAAGTCAAACAGACAGCAATTTTAGTGATTTATTTGTACAATAGGAATTGCACTGTACAAATACCCCAGCTCAGATGTGAAGGCAAGAACGTGTCAGCATCTGCTCTGTTCTGCCTGACCCGAACATCCCTCAAACCACACTGTGAGCTTAGACTGATGGAAACAGATATGCACAGAAAATAACAATAAAAATAAAGCTAAAAAAATAAATAAACCAGCTGCCAGCTGAAAAAATTAACAATTACAGGGCAAGAAGAGACCCTTCCCAACTAAGTGCCAAAGCATACTGAAAATATTGAAATTAAAAAAGGCTAAATAAAAACTAAAAAAATAATATCATATCCAAGTTTACCTCTCCAAACTTTATGGCAGTGGAGTGATTATGGTCTCAGTTTAAATAGCATGTAAAAATGGAACTCTCAGTAGACGAATACAGAAAAAGGCATATGGTGATATCTCTATCAGGTCAATGCCCCTATGACACTTACACTACGTACACATGTATACACCATCCACAGACACACTAAGGTGTGAGCTTTTACACACATAACCGGACACTTGCATAAAAAAAAATTCCTTCTCAAACCCACCCCATTTAAATCACGTTTGACAGCAATGGAGCATGGTGTATGCAAAGTTTTCTCTCAAAGCAATATCAATTTACATTCACTCAAATTTACATTAGTAAATCACTAATGTTACCATGGTAACTGAAAACGTCGTATAAAAATATAACAAAGGCTGAAAACTGATGCACTCAACAAAAGTATATCTACACAGTTTCAAATGTGGGGTGGGGGCTGAGCGACATGGCTAAGAACAGCTCGTACTTCCAATCTCTCATCTTGTTTTCGGGAGGGGGGCTAGGGAATGTATAAGGACTCTCCGCACATCAAGTCTGAGTAGCAGCAGTTTTTCCCCTCTCGCCAATAGTGACACAGTGAAAGCCGCGGGTTCCATCAGGACCCCTGGGCAGCCTCATTACACCCGGTGGTAGGCCGTCAGCGTTCTGCATCTTTCGACCCAGCATCGGGCTGCCGACCGGGCTGCTCTCCTGAGATGCCACCTGCTTGCGCCGCTGAACCCACGGACTCCCTGAAGGGGTGAGGCTACTGTCTGAGGAGTAGTCTGCCCAGCGACGCCCGGGTTCAGGGCTCAGTCTGCCCTCACTGGCCAGGGGAGACTTGTGGGAATGTGGGGATTTGCGCTGAGGACAGGGGCTGCCGCGGGGGCTGGACCACGGACTGTTACGCGGGGACATTCCAGGACTCAGGTGATTGTTCTGGAAGCTGATGCTGGCAGTTGTGGGGCTGAGCTTGTTGCAGGACTGGGACTTCCTGGCTAGCCTTGGGGATGTAGGGTTGCTCTCAGTCTCTGAAGAGCTGCAAGCGGAGTCGTCCCCGTGGTACTGAAGCTCCCTTATTCTGCTGTTGAGCGAGCGACTCTTGCGCATCCCTCCCTCCTCACGTGGTCTATCTTTGGGTACCTTCTTCTTGGGCGGCTTGGTGCCAATCAGGACCACTTTCAACCCTAGCAAACTGGCCCCACTATCGTCACTCCCCACAGCTTCGTTGGCTTTAACAGCAGCCTCCACCTCCTCAAACTCCACGATGGCACACTCCTCAGAGCCCAGCTGAGTGTAGCGGCCACTCAGCCTCTTCAGGTCAGCCGGCAGGTCCTTGCCAGGCTTCAGGACTCGAACAGAAGCAATGGCCCCGTATGTTCCAAAAGCTTTCAGCAACAGCTTCATCAGCTGCTCCTGCTGGGTCGCTCCTCCCTCGTTCCCTTCATTATCCTTCGTGAGAGCAGCCAGCTCTGGCCACTGCTGCAAATCACTTAACAGCAGCATGCGGCTAGGCAGCGACTCACTGGCAAAGACGGGCACTGCGGATTTACGCCGCACCTTACGCCCCTCATCATTCAGCTCAAGTATCTTTGAGTGTCTCAGAGCATAAGCAGTTGTTCTCCAGTCACGAGTCAAGTGTTTCACCTGCAAAGAGATGATGGTTGTGTTACATGGGTGAGATTAAATGGTTTAGAAGTGCCATCTCTAAACCACTGGGTCGCACCTTTGGTCTCTGCAACTGTTTCTATTTTTACAGCTTTTACTTTTTAAGGCTTGAAATGTTTCAACAATAGCTTAGGCTTGTGCGCATTAGGGCTGGGCAATGATTCACACTAGCTCATGATCAATAATTCTCACAATGAAATAAT